TTAATAAATTCTAAAATATCACAAAATTCACGTGATAAACCCGAATTATTAAAACCGGTTCCAACCTCTACACTAAATCTTTCGCTTATTCGATTGTTTTGCTTTCGCGTATTTGATTGTTTTGATTTTACGTTACACCTTATCTTTCGATCTAATTGGCTAAAAATCACGTGACTGAAAATTTTGTGGGTGAGCTATTAGATATAAACAAATCGATTTCATAAATAAAAGAAAATGTCTTTCAGGAAAGTTAGAATTCAACATAGCATTTGAACTTTGGCTTTTTTTAACTATTTTTTTAAGCAACATTATTATTGGTAGAAATAAAAGCATATCTCGAGAAAACGTGCCCTGCAAAAGCGTCTTATAACGATTTTGTGCATAAAAACAAAGCGTCATTGGCCAAACAATCAAATTACGAACCATGTTTAATCCGAAACTCCCAGTTGAAGAAACAATTTATATTAAGTGCGCGGGAATTGAGATATGATGAAAAGTTTATCAAAAAGGTTATGTATAATATAAAAAAGTGCAGGTGTTGTTCTCCTGCAAGGGATGCGGGAACTCCAGCAGGTGGATTTCTCCTGTAAGAATGCTGTGTGTTCATGGAGCATGGGGCACGTTCTTTAACGTTTATACATCCCCTCTCGCGTCTCAAGTGTAGGGTGATTTGAAAGAGCTTCGGCGAGGTTCTCGTGCTATAACACGGAGTATGGGGTGGCTTAAGTGCCGTGTGGTTCCCCACTTTCCATCATTCTACACTATAATTATTTTAGAATATATCTCTTACCATATTTATTTTATCGTAGTTTAAAGATGAAAAAATGGATAAAGGTCTCTGGAAGAAGATTGAGAATACGCAAGGTTCAATTCTGATTAAGAATAAACGGGTAAGAAAACTATATACGATCTTTATTTGTGGATAATTCAACTGTCAACATATTTGTTTTGCATAATAGATTGGAATCAAACGAAAGGTCGATTTACTCTCTATTGATATTTTTGATAAGTCTAAGTCTACAACTCATCAAGGAAACAAAATTATAACAATGATAACCAAAGAGATTTCAATGATGATGATGATACTTATTTTTCCGATAACGAAGATGAAAGTATTCAAGATAACTCAGAGGAGACTATTACTAACGTTTTAAGTTTATCTAATGAGGTAATTTATAGTATACATTATATTATTAATATTAAAGTTAGATCTTGAATGAATAGGAAATATTATTTTATAAGGACAAGTCGAGTATACTAGAAAACCTGGAGAACCGTTTGGCTACTATATACAAAGTGGTTTCTCTGTTTGATAGACAATTTCCATACACGAAAGAACTTTACAATACGTTCCTGATCAAATAAGAATATTGGAAAGTGAATGGGAAAAGGTAATACAGTTTTTAGATTAGATAAATTAGATAATTATAAATTATTGATTTATAATTATTAACTAGGTTGAAGTTAATATCCAAAAAACAATTGAAGAAGGATGGAAAGTATCTAGTGCTAAAAAACTTGTAGATAAGTATTATGAGGCAATTGTAAATCATTTTGATGAAACGTCGGATGTCGATCATGAAATGCTTATTACGGTATTCAGTAAGCCTCCCTTCAGTGACTTCTCTTATAGGCGTGATGCTGAATTAATTTGGTGTCAGAGAACAATTACAAATTTGTAGGTTTTATATACGTGCTATATATATTTATATATATTAAGCGATTGTTATATGTTATATTAATATTTCCATGCTAGGATTTGTCAGTTTTACGCAGTAGAAACTCTCTATTTAATAACGAGGCCTCTGAACTTTGCTATCATTCAGAAATTGTAAATTCTTTGTTTGCGGGAACATTTGAAATGATTGAACGTTCTGTATGGCTTGAAATTGGAGAAATTGAGAATGAAATACAAAAGATGCAACGAAATGATACCAAGAAAGACAATGAGCGATCAAAACTCGGAATGAAACATGATGGTGTAATTAATATGATAATACATGGCAAAAATATCAAATCGGTTTTCTTGAGGTAGCAGGAAATGCCTTTAATAATGACATAACGAATAGAAATATTGATTTAGAGAAATTATATAAAGGTAGGTGTTATTATTATCAACTCTTTAGTTCAAATAATGCTTACCAGTTGTATTTGTACAATCAGCTATGTCATTGTGGAACCAACGTACACATCTATATAATGAAACCTTGCAATTTTCAGCTTTTGCTATACTAGTTCACGGTAAATATAGACATAAGCTTTGTACTTGTCCTAATTGGTTCAATCAATCAATCAAATAGGAAAACTTTCAATTTTTTAAGCATGAATTACATTAATGATGAGTTTGTGGTTAAAAATTATGCCGACTTTATTCTACCAACAACAAATGAATGCCTACTAAGAGTTCCAAAAATATAGCATAGCAGTCATAGGACGACATTCATATGATTGGTAGATCTACCCGTGATTTCCCGTGATAATTAGCCAATCAAAATACATAATTTT